TTTTCGAATTAATAAAATGGATTTTTTTCCAATTATAAGCATTACGGGACCAGTCAGCCGTAAGCTTTGGGAAAAGCAGTGAAGTTCGACATTGCTTCAAGGCTTCGATAACCAGCGAGTTTTCCTGTCATGAGCTAAATATGCATTCAGAGGAAGAAAAATGGTAGAAGGTGAATGTTTTGTCAATCATCGATGAAAGAATTTGAAGACCATTAGTATATTGATTTTGTCGCGAAACAATCTGATTCTGGAGAGACGAGAGTGTGTAAAAAAAATTGTTTACAGATTTTCATAAGTAACTCGCTCAATAAATCTCCATAAATCTCCGAGCACCTGACACAGTGCATATTCGCAGAAAATGTGATCGCCACCCCATAAGATGTTTTTGCAAGAATCGTAAGAAACAAAAATCAGTGGAGCTAGAACATCACGCTTGAAATATTTGCCACTTTTCAAGTGATGTAATGGAAATAAATGACAATGAACTTCATCAAAATGGCAATGACACAAAGGAAATGAAATCGGCGACGGAGGCATGTCTTGTTTAGGACATCATGATTGAGAATCTCCTCGGCATATGGCTCATTTCATCGAGAGTGATGTTCGATGAGCGGTGGCTCTCTGCAATAGCTCTGTTAGAATATAGAATTTAAACTTCTTTTCCCCTACTTTTCTGCAGCCTCGTGCTTTGCGCTCTGGTTGAAATTCGATATTGAATTTTTCAGTTATAAACTCTGCAGTAAAAACAAAAAAACATGAGCTGTGTGAGTAACTTTCTACCTCGGGAAATATTTTATTCAATTTCGCTAGTCAGGGTGCAATCGTAAACTTCGCAGCTACTGCGAATAGGTTGAAAGAGACACAGGAAGAAAAACTGCACAAATCAGCCGTTTTTGGTCCAATCAGGACGATATCAGCGCCATTCAAGGCACTTGTATCTGAGTTGTCAGCAGACCATAAAAAGGTGAGTTTGTTGGTTTATGATGATTAGTGATTTATTTGATAGTCAGATATAGAATTTTTTCCAGAAAAAAGAAGATTCAGTTCTGGATTCTGTGGCTGGAAAGCTGGGTATCTCCACCGAAGCCATTCCCATTCCCGTCAAAAAGCTATCGGCTCCTTTGAAAACACTTACATCCGAATCACCACCAGATCATAATAACAATGTAAATTCTTCCGTTATTTGCAATTTATGGGATTTTCCTACTTTTTTTCAGGACAGCGAAAATGATTTTTTGAACATTGTTGCCCAGAAGTTTGATGAAACAAAGGATACAGTTGTTGGAAAAGTAAGTCTGCTTTAGCAACGAGGCACATCTCATCCCACTGAGAACGCTTAGAAACTCTTGTATCTCAATATTCCTAGACTCATCAACCGTACATGTTTGATTAGGCAAATGCTGTTAGCAGTTTGGCGTGATTTTCTGATGGGTAACGTGACCCAGAAAATATCTTCTAAGAATCAGATTCGTTGTTAGATATTCATGCAAGTAATTCCCGACCAAAGCGTCTAGGTAGATTCGTTGTCTTGACGATTACCTTGAACAACTAGAACTTCAAGAGTTTTGAAGGAAAATATAATTCTTTCTGAGAGCAAGCAGGAGCTCTCTTTAGAAAAAAACTGGAATTAGTAATATTGCTTGCGTTTCTTGGCACCCTGTTGAATGGGCAGAGAACTCTGAGCAGTGGGAATTTTTGGGGCAGTTAACTGTAATAGAAAATGATAAAGAGAGATTGCACTCTTGTTTCTTTTGATCTACTCTTAAAAGGCTTTATGAGCAAACAAATCATTATTCGCAGGCAAAGGAAGCAAAGGAATTTGTGGCAAAGGAAGCAAAGGTTGTGAACGAGAAGTTGGAGCAAATCACAGGAGATTAAGCAGTCCGCCTTGTCTATATATGGCAGTCTTGACTGTAT